ACAAGCATTTCGCCTGAGACATCCTTTGAATTCTGGCCCCCCACGAGGCCACCGCTCGAGACATCCTCCAATTTTGCAAAACCAGCGTTTCGCTCGAGACATCCTCAACAAATTATGAAAAACAAGCGTTTCGCTCGAGACATCCTGTCAAAATCCCAAGAAATCCAAATACCCGCGCGCGGGACGCGGCACGCGCGAGACATCCTTGGAATTCCTGCGCGAGGGGCGCTTTTCCGTGTCGCGGTCGGCTCTGCAAAACCAGCGTGTCGCTCGAGACATCCTCAACAAATTCTGAAACCAAGCGTTTCGCTCGAGACATCCCCAACTCTGCAAAACCAGCGTCTCGCTCGAGACATCCTCAACAAATTCTGAAAAACAAGCGTTTCGCTCGAGACATCCTCAAAAATAATTCCGCCGGCCCTACTCCCGCACGTAATTTATCGCAGAATAATTTCGCCGGCCCTACAGCTGTGGAAACCGGGGGGTAAACCCACTAAAAGAGAACCCTGGGCTCGAGCCCTTTCCGGGAAACATGATCGACCCACGAACCCAGAAAGGAATGTAGAACTGTAACACATGGCAGCGTTTTCAAAGACACCTGATTGGGTGACGGGCAAATGCAATACTGAAGGTATCGATCTTGATGTACCCTGCCGAGGGCTGTGCTGTGCTGCGCCGTGCTGAATTGCGATGTGCCATGGCGCGACTGTGCTCTATAGCCTCGTGGATCGAGTCCTCCTTTGCATCCGAGTCCTGACCGAACTGATCTGGATCTTAAGCTCGAGCTGCCTGAACACATAGTAGCTGCCCCAGAGCTAATGGACAGGGGAACATGCCAGGAGGACGCGCCGCGAAACGTCCCAAGGGATGCGCCAGGCGACGTGCCAGGGGACGTGCCATGGGGTCGCACCGCGGGACGTGCCAAGGGGACGCGCTACGGAACGTGCCAATGGATGTGCCACGGGATGTGCCAGGGGACGCGCCACGCGACGTGCCAGGGGGACTCGCCAAAGGACGCCCCACGGAACGTGCCAAGGAACGTGCCAAGTTGCAATGCTGAGTGCATCGACCTTGATGTACCGTGCCGAAATCAGTGCTGTGCTGCGCCGTGCTGAATTGCGATGTGCCATGGCGCGATTGTGCTCTATAGCCTCGTGGATCGAGTCCTCCTTTGCATCCGAGTCCTGACCGAACTGATCTGGATCTTAAGCTCGAGCTGCCTGAACACATAGTAGCTGCCCCAGAGCTAATGGACAGGGGAACATGCCAGGAGGACGCGACGCAGAACGTCTCAAGGGACGCGCCAAGCGACGTGCCAAGGGACGTGCCATGGGGACGCATCGCGGGACCTGCCAAGGGGACGCGCTACGGAACGTGCTGGGGACAAGCGTTTCGCTCGAGACATCCTGTCAAAATCATCTGAATTCCTACGCGCGGGACGCTGCACGCGCGAGACATCCTCGGAATTCCTGCGAGCGGGACGTGAAAACAAGCATTTCGCCTGAGACATCCTTTGAATTCTGGCCCCCCACGAGGCCACCGCTCGAGACATCCTCCAACCTTACAAAACCAGCGTTTCGCTCGAGACACCCTCAACAAATTATGAAAAACAAGCGTTTCGCTCGAGACATCCTGTCAAAATCCCAAGAAATCCAAATACCCACGCGCGGGACGCGGCACGCGCGAGACATCCTTGGAATTCCTGCGCGAGGGGCGCTTTTCCGTGTCGCGGTCGGCTCTGCAAAACCAGCGTGTCGCTCGAGACATCCTCAACAAATTCTGAAACCAAGCGTTTCGCTCGAGACATCCCCAACTCTGCAAAACCAGCGTCTCGCTCGAGACATCCTCAACAAATTCTGAAAAACAAGCGTTTCGCTCGAGACATCCTCAAAAATAATTTCGCCGGCCCTACTCCGTGCGTGCCCGCTCGCAAAATAATTTCGCCGGTCCAAGTCGCAGGGGGGCCGGGGGGTTAACCGACTAAAAGAGAACCCTGGGCCCACGCCCTTTCCGGGAAAAAATGCAAATCAACGATTTTGCCTTCTCGGAGCGGTCTTGGCCGGCATCCTATAGGCCTCTTGGGGCGTTTTAGGAGGCCTTCGGGGCAGTTTAAAACGCATCGTGCGTCGCCAGAGACCCCTGGAGGGCGTCTTGGGGGCGTCTCGAGACCGTCTGGGGCCGCCGAGATTGCTGTCGGAGGGCTCCCCGGGACTATTTCAGGCCTCCCACAGGCGAGCCCGCCGATCCCTGGCACCCACATTTGCGGTCAAGGTTCCGGCCCTCGGCCCCCGGGCCCGGTCGCCGTTATATGTAACTAGAAACACAGCCACGAAGCATTGTAATTCACAGTATACGCGACACATCAAAATAGACACGCGCGCGCTTCGTGAATGAGCGAAGCGTATCAGGGAATCGCGCGCCCGAATAGACACGACACCCTTGTCTTCCAGGGGATCCCTAGATATTCCAAGAAATCCCTAGATATTCCTAGGCATCTCTCGAAATTCATTCTCAGAGATTGCTTGAGATTCCTAGAGGTGGCCACAGGTTCCTGAGAGGTTCCTAGAGATGCCAGAGGAGTTCCCTGGGAAAGCCAAAAGGTTCCTAAGATATCCCTAGACATTCTCAAAGGGGTCCCTGCAGATTCGAAGAGGTCCCTGACAAATTCATGGAAATTCTGACAGATTCCCAGAGATCCCTAGACATTCCTGGATCATCCCAGGGATTCCTCGGAGATTCCCAGGGATTCCTCGAGATTCCCAGAAAAGCCGAACGAGATTCCCAGAGATTCCTTTTCTCTCCTCTCCTTTTCTCTCCTCTCCTCATGTCCTCTCCTCTCCTACTTTTCTCTCTTCTCATCATTTTCTCTCTTCTCCTCCTCTTCGCTCCTCTCTTCCTCTTCGCTCCCCCCCTCCTTTTCGCCCCTTTCCTCCTTTTCGCCCCTTGAGGACGCTCGGGTTCTCCTCCCGGGACCTTGAGGACTTTTGAGAAACCCGGAACCCTCGGGTTCCGGGTTTTTCTTTTCGCACCGAGGGGGCCCCAAAGCAAAACCCGGAACTCCGGCGGAAGCCGTTTCGTTTCGGAGGCTGCTTCGGAAGCCGTGTCGGAGGCCGTTTCGGACGTCGCTTCGGACGCCGAGTCGGACGCCGTGTCGGAAGCCGTTTCGGGAACCGTTTCGGAGGCCGTGTCGGAAGCCGTTTCGGGAACCGTGTCGGGAACCGTGTCGGAGGCCGTGTCGGAGCGCGTCCGAGGCCGCGTCGGAGCGCGTCCGAGGCCGCGTCTTCTCCTCTCCTTCTCCCCTCCCCCCCGGGAATTCCTGGCACCCGGAACCTTAGGGTTCCGGGTGTTCTCCTCCCGGGACCTCGAGGAGTTTAGAGAAACCTGGAACCCTCGGGCTCCGAGGGTTTCCACCCCCGGAATTCCGGGTTTCTGGGCCAGCATGGCGCCCTCTTTGGGCGTCGCTCGCCCCCCTCTGACGTTTTTCTTGGTGCCCCCCGCGGGGCCCGACACGGCCAGAAGACAAATCAGTGCACTTTGGGGGCCCCGGGACCCCCTACCCATTCATTCATTCATTCATTCATTCAGTCATTCATTCATATATACATGTGTATATCTAAACATATATATAGAGAGAGAGAGATAGAGAGATGTATGTATGTATATCTATATGTGTATATATATATACATATATACAAGACTGCACTGGCGCTGCGCGCCATGCACCTTGGTCCTTGAGTTTCGCAAGCTAGCGGAGTGCGTGCGTGCGTACATGCGCGCGCATCTGCGCCCATACGTACACGTTGCATTTGTGAATATGAATGTACGCGTGCAAGGGTATGTACACGTATACGCAAATCGTTTGCGCAGCCCTGGGCGCGCATGCACATGCGCATCTCGGAAGGTCTGCAAGAACGTCTCAGGCGAAGAAAGCGGGAACACTATGGAGCAATGCACTTCCGCAGTCGGAGTTGCGAGGAAATCCAAAGCGAAGCGGGTTCGACTACTGTTTCTTCCTCATCCTTTTCCCCTTGCTTCGTTTGCTAGCTGGGTGGTAATCGTTACTTCTCCTCCGGGCTCCTTTTATCTGCTCCTCGTTCTACTTGTCCTCGTATTATTATGTGCCCGTTTCTTTTCCCCCCTTCCTCCTGCTTCTCCTCCTGTTTCTCCTCCTCAGTCCTGTGCCGATTGAGCTGAACCGGAAGAGCTGAAGAGGATGAGGAGAAGGAGGAGGAGGAGGAGGAGGAGGAGGAGGAAGACGAGGAAGAGGATGGGGACCTCTGGTAGGCAGTTTTGAAGCCTCTTGGGGGCTGTTTGTGGGCCTCTTGGGATCTTTTTGGGGCCTCTTGGGGGTTCCTTGGGGCCTCTGGGGAGCCTCTTGGGGCCTCATGGGGCCCTCTTAGGGCCTCTCGGGGCCCGCTCGCGGCGGAAAACTTAAAATTTGAATTTTTGGGCGCCCTCTTGGGCCTCTCTTGGGGCCGTCTTGGTGCTCTCTTGGGCCGCCTTGGGCGCCTCTTGGGCGGTCTTGGAGCCCTCCTGGACCGTGTTGGGGCCTTTTGGGGGGCCTATTGGGCAGTACTGGGGCGATCTAGGGAGCCTCTTGGGCCGTGTTGGAGCGTGGGGAAGCGGAAAAAGCGAGAAGGCTAAAAACATCGAACAACACATAGGAAAATCCACAATTTTAGCCTCTCGGGGCTCTCTTGGGCGGCCTCTTGGGGGTCTCTTGGGGCGTCTTGGAGGCCTCTTGGGCAGTCTTGGGCCCATATTGGGCGTTTTGGGCCGATCTTTGGGTGTCTCGGGGCCCTCTTTGGCCGTCGTAGGTTTTTTTTTTTTCGCGTCGGACTCGCAGGACAGACCTGCCTGGGGGTCCAGGAGGACCGGAGATCCACGGAAGCACTCTGCAGGAGCGCCCCAGAGGCTCGGGGAGGCCGAAATTCGTTTTTTTGGGGGGGGCACCGTGTGCCGCTTTTCCGGGGTCCCCGGCCCTGTAAAAATATATATAAAGCTTGTGCATTCACGAAACTCTGCCAGGCTCTTGAAGGGGCCCCGACAAAGACGATCCCTTTTCCTTCAATGCGATGCAGCGCGAGGCGGGGAGCACAACGCTGCCCAGCCGGGCAAAGAGCAAAAAACTGTCAGCGATTCGTTGATAGAAGGCCCTTCAAGGGAAGAAAGAGGAAGAAGGAGAGAGCGAGGGAGGGGGGGAGAGAAAAGCCTGAGCCGTAATAAGTACGGCAGAGAACAAACATTGCAAGCATACCGTCATGAAGACATCCAGCTTGTGCATTCACGAAACTCTGCCAGGCTCTTGAAGGGGCCCCGACAAAGACGATCCCTTTTCCTTCAATGCGATGCAGCGCGAGGCGGGGAGCATAACGCTGCCCAGCCGGGCAAGGAGCAAAAAACTGTCAGCGATTCGTTGATAGAAGGCCCACACCCGCAGGAGAGACATGGCCCCTCGGCCGCATCACACACCAAACCGATCAGCAATCACTTCCTCGCGCTGCCGATCGACGGCGGCAATGAGGACAGAAACAATATGCTTGCACAGCTGGTTAGGGCACGGGCAGGCAATGGCTGTCCAGTGACGGTCACTGACTGGATCACGGCCAACAAGCTCGAGGTGGGCGCATCCAGCGCGCGAACATGTGCCAGCAACTGGAATACAGCGGCGGCACAGCTTCATACATTCGGCGCCCACGTGCCAGAAGGCGATCCTGGTTCTTTTCCGCCAGGGCATGCCGAACTGGCAGTAGTCGAGAACAGCTTCATGGCAGCACGAATGAGACAAGAGTTTCTTCAAGGCAGGTACCTGCCAGATCACAGAGGTGTTAGGGTTCTCAATAGCAACGGGACAATTGCACAGAATGCAAAGGCGAATGATTCTAATGCTGAAGTGCAAAAGCCTGTTTCCAACGCTCACTGCAGCCAGGTCCCTTCCCGAAAGGCCGGGGGGGCCAAGGGGGGAAGAGGCGGAGCGAAGAGGGGGGCGCCTGGCGGCAGAGAACGCGGCACAAGGGGTGGCTAACCAAACGCAGCAGACAGCCTTCGCGAGGATCCATCCTCGAATGCGGCGGGCAAAAGCAGGGATCAGATGATTCTCGGCGGCGTGCTGCAGAAAATCCAGGCCTAACGCACTGCGATCACAACGACGAAGTTGCTTGGTCAAGTGGGCGCTGCCACAAAACAGCTCGAGGAAAACGCACCGCCTGAAAACACGCCCGTGCTTCACAGCTTGCCTGAACACGCGAGCGAGGTGCCTATCCACATCCTTTCCCGAGGCTGCTAGCGCAGCGGTGTGCCCAGGCTGCTGAGGGCCTGGCGGGCGCGCAGGGGCAGGAGGTCCAGCACCCCGCTTCCGAACAGGCCGCACTCGACTATCAGGCGGAAGTGCTCCTCCACCACGCGGCCGAACTCGATAGTTGAGCTCGGCACCTGGTTCAGCTGCGTCAGCACTCGGGTCTCCTTTCCGTATCTCTTGAGAGACTGGCTGGTAGCCCAACGCCCCCTCCGCTGGACGGCCTCCACTGACCGCCTCTTGCGAAGGAGGTCGTCCGAGGCCCCCCCGCGGCGGAGGGAGTACAGGTGGGGCTCCAGCGCTCCGAGCCCGAGGAGGTCGCAGGCCATCCTGAACTGCTTCCCGAGCTCGCTCGGCGAGAAGGGCCAGAGCGGCGCGTTGTCGGGCGTGGCCTGCATCAGCGCGGCCACAACTGGGATCAGCCAGTCGTCCAGGTCCAGCAGCACGGACTCGTCCCAGTTGCCGGTCTTCCCCGGCTGACCCCCCGTGGCATCGGCCAACAGTAGCCCCCAACGTTGGAACTGCGGCCCCGCCTGAGGGTTGCTGGCGACCACGTGGCGCCCCAGCAGGCGGAAGCACTCGATCGGCCGCAGGTAGCACGCGAAGGTCAGGCACACCCACACCCCCATGCGAAGCTGCCCGATCGCGAGCAGCATTCCCGCAGCAGCCAGCGCGGCCGCGCGGGGCAGGGGCAGTCTCTGGTGGCCTGGGGCACGGCGCACCCAGGCTTGGGCGCGCCGGGTGGCTCTCGGAAGGAGAGCCCGCACCTGCTTGCCGATCGACGGGTAATGGTGAGCGACCGCCGCGAGCAGCTTGCTGCCGTCGGTGCCCGGGCGGCCGTCCAGGTACAGAGTGTTCTGGAAGGCCGTCAGCGCAGCGCCCAGGCCCTCGTGCGAAACCCAGGCGATGTTCTGCGTCATGCAGAACAGGCAGAAGTCCGACAGCAGGGTGTGGTAGTGTTTCTCCGTGCTCGGCTTCACCGCCGCCCGCTCCAGCACCGACAGGGTGGGCAGCGCTGGCCTGTCGGCCGCCGCCGCGCGGGCTCGCGCGGAGCGGTCCTGGCGCAGGCGCTCGGCTGCCGATCGGCGGCGCCTCCGGCTGGCGGGCATCCCGCGCCGCAGGTAGTGCGGGGCCACTCGGCCCGAGAGTAGAGGCAGAGGGTCCTGGGGGTTGAGCCTCGGCGGGTACGGCAGCAGCAGCCCCTGAAGCGGTCGGACACGAGTTCGCACGCCGACTGGGGCCGCTGAACCAGCCCAACTTCCCCCGCGAGCCCCTGTCGGATGGGTTGAGCTCTGAGGGGCACCACCTGGTAGCCACACGAGTCCCCGTGACCAAGGAGAGACAGCATGCCTTTCGCAGAGCAGCACGTAGATGAATTGACTTAGCCCGACCCTTGCAAAGGCCCAAACATAACGGTAAATTGTCCACGATGAGAACGAGTTTAGCTCCTAAGTTGTACGAGGACCGTAGAGCGTGGCGAACGGCAAGCACAGCAGCATCCCCTTCGAGGCCCAAGATGTTGCCCGGAACCACCACCTGGGACGCCAAGACAGCATCCCACTTGGAGGCATCCAAGAGCTTGGCAGGGACCTCCCCGAAGACAGCCGACTTAACCCTGATGTACGACATGATGTCGTCGTCCCCCATGCCCATGTTCACGCTGTTGACCCCCGGCAGGTGCTCGGCGGACTCGGCGAAGCCGCTGGAGCAGGACGGAAGTGGAGACGAACCGAGAGCACACGAGCGAGCTTGTTCGGCCCCAGCCACTCGACACCTCCAGCGCTCACTGCACTGTCCGACTTCACCGGCGGTAGCTCGATCAATGCGCCGATGACAGACGGCCAAACCAAAAGGCGAGGCATCGCTGCAGTGCACATCTGACGACCACTGAGCCCGCCAGTCGACACGGCAGAGAGGTAGCAAACACCGAACACGCCAGAGCTCCTGTCTCACACGAGGCCACAACGTGTGCTGGGAACAGGAATCGAAGTACTTCTGTGTGAAGGCATAGCACTCGTCTAATAGACAAAGCCCCTCGCGACGCAGAAGAGTAGACCACACAATGTGACCGGTCACGCACTGCATCATATTGCCCGTGGCCTTCCCCCTGCGAAGCAATGACTCGATCCCCAAACGTAAACGCCAGATATTCTTGGTTTTCAAGCTCACGGTGTGCCCATCGGTCATCTGCAGCCCTACGAAGCCCATGTCCCTCGACGCCTCCGAAACCTCGTGAACGACAAGTCCCTTACCCTGGAGATCCGAGATGATAGCCCGATTCACCTGGTTAGTGACGTCCTCACTCGCAGAGAACACGAAGAAGTTATCGACGTAGGCGGCAGCCGCGACAGCGGTGGGTGACGAGAGCCTCGGTGGAACCTGGCCGTCCTCAATCACCTGGTGGTCCTGGATCCCGCCGTCCCGGAGCGATTGCCTAACTACAGCCTGGCACAGATGCATGGCCCAACTCCATCCCATTGGCAGGACAACAAGGCAGGGTGAAACCGGTGTGCCAGGACTAAGCGGGCCCCATCAATCTCGTGGACCCCAACAAGGTCGGAGGAAATAGAGGGGAGGCTAAAAGACTCTTCGAGGCCATCGGGGACCCTCAAGTGATAAAACGCACAGCTTAAATCCCCAGACGCCCCGAAGGCCCCCTCGGGACCAGTTTGAAAACCCGAGAAGGCCGACGGGGTGGGCAGGCGGGTCGAAGCCGCCTCTGCGAAGTAGCAGTTGCAAACTCTAGTGTCGAAGAAGATGCGAAGCTGGCCATTGCGCTTCGCGACAAAAAAAATACTCCTAGGAGCCCCGACCGGGGAGACACATGACGCCACGTGAGCATTCCACATCGCTGAAGCTGAATCAGAAAGTCTCTGTAGTGGGAGGGAGAACGAAGGGCAGGGTCAACGTAGGGACCGTTCGTGCAGATCAAACGGCGCTTGTCCTTTGCTACGTCAGCCGGCAAAAGCAAATTATCACGCCATGACCTCAGCCAATCACGATCGGCCTGGGACAAACACGACTCCACAGGGGGAGGGCAGGATCCGACCTCAGGCCAGGCCACGAGGTGGCGTGCATAAGGCTTTCGGGTGGAGCTACCAGGGTAGATGGCTGACCCGGCAAGAAGCTCGCGGAGGGCCCCCTTGCTATTCAAATCTGCCGGCTGGGCGCCCACCTGCTTGAAACAGTCCAGGACATGCTGGCGCGCGAAGCGCTGAGACGAATTGAAGGGGGGAGGAGCGAGGCCAGGAGGACTGTGACAGGAGGCTTGCGGGAACCCACACAGCTGGTTAAGGCAACTGATAGACGAGTCAGCCCAGTCCAACATGTGTGCGCGGCGGTGCTCTCTCTGCTTGACTGCATGGCAAGCGCGGCGAGGACAAAGGGCCTCGGTCTGTCTCGACAACAGAGGCAGCGGGAACAGGCCCCTCTGGCGGTCGGCTTTCCGCGGCGCCGCCGCAGAGGAAGAAAAAAGAGGAGGGGTCGAGCCGACGCTGTGCGGCTCTCCAGGCGGCCCAGGGCACCCCCTCCGATGCGCCTGGCCGAGCTCTGGGTCATGCATCATTGGTTTTATTGCCCTTGCGGGCCGCTTCTCGTTCTTCTCTAGCTTTACGTCGTTCTTTGAGCAGGGCATGCTCGCGAGAGAGCTCCTTGGCCACCCACTCAGTGAGCTCGGGGCACACGCACACCCCGGCACGTATCAGGTCCACGCCGTAGTACAGGTGAGCGTCCCCGAGTGCGTCCTCCTTGTGTCCGCTCAGCCGCTCCCTCCAACGCTCCTCCTGCACCTGATGGGAGCGGGCCAGGTGCTCCGCAGTGGCGCAGTTGGGCAGGTTGATCGTCATAGCAGGCCATCGTCTCCAGCTGGCGGCAGCCCCGTTCGTGCTCAGACACCCCTGCATCCTGCGACTGGAGCTTGGCGTCATGCTTCCAGCGAGCGCGGCGCCCTGTGGGGGGTCCACCGTTCTGAACGATGTAGCGGCAAACCCACATGCAGGAGCGAGGGCCCTTGATGGGCCAATCCGGGAAGACGTCCTCCCGGAAGCCAAGCACGGCCCTCTCGAAGGAAACCTTGCGCTCGCCCAGCAGGTCATATTGCACCGGGGCCACCCTCAGGTCGAAGTACCCCCCTAGCCCGCCTGCGCCCACGCGCGGCGCCGCGGCGCCCTGAGCCCCGCCCGCAGCGGCCCCGGCGCCGGCGGCAGGGGCGGCTGCCACCGCCGCCGCACCGGCCGCAGCAGGGGCGCCCGCGCCTCCCATCGGGCCACCCACAGCGGCCGCGCCGGCGGCGTCCGCGCCGCCTGCGGCGGCGGGCCCAGCCGCGCCTGGGGCTGCAACCAGCGCCAGTGCTCCGGCGGGCATCGGTTGCGCTGCTCCGCCCAGGGCGGCCACGAGCCCGCCAAGCCCCGCTGCAGGGGCGAGGGCTCCGGCCCCGGCTCCAGCGCCAGCGGCGGGGGCAGCCGGGGCGCCCGCAGCGGCAGCGGCCACGGCGCCCGCCGGGCCCGCGCCCGCTCTCCCAGAGACATTGGGGAGGAGCTGGCCTGGCGGCGCGGCGACCCCGTGCCTAGCGCAGGCGGCGGCCCGAGCAGCCGTGGTGGTGGCGACTGTCGGAATGGCCCGAAACTTGTACATGGGATCATCCCCGACGCCAGCCGGCGCGCCGCCTGCTGCGGCACCGGGCGCCACCAGCACCTCAACGATGTCAGGCCCGTTGAAATTCTCATCGTACTCATCTCCGTCGGGGGTGACTATGGCCACCGAGAACCCGGCGTTCTCCACCAGCAGGACGACCAAACGTTCGTGCCAGAGCCGCTGGGCGTAGTTGTAGCGTACGTACACAAAATCGCCCGCAGCTAGGCCGTAGGTCGTCGCAACAGGATGAGCAGCCATCTTGTCTAGCGGCGTGCCTGGGCCGCCGCCGCTGCCTGCCGCGCCTGCCGCCGAGCCTCCTCAGCCACGTCCTCGAGCGCGGGCGGCGCCGGGGGACTGACCACCTTGGCATGGGGCAGCGGCAAGGCCGTAGCCGCGGCCAGGGTCGAGGGCGCCGCAGACCTCGGCGCGGACGGCCCCCTTGCCAGGCCGACCCCGCGCCGTCCAGCGAGGTAGCCTGCACCTGTGGCCACCGCGAGGCAGCCCAGCAAGAGGGGGATCGAGATGCCCTCCTGGTGGAAGGAGCTCTTCGGCGAGTACTCCAGGCTCGGGCACTGGAGGTGGGGAGCGCACTGGCACTCCGGGCAGCTGGGGCACTCCAGCGACGGACACACGCCACAAGCCACCACCGGCTCACAGGCGGGGCACTGCTGAGAGCCGCCTCGGATGATGAATGCAGCGGAGACCCCACGCGCGATCTCACTGCCCACGCGCGCGACGAACTGATGCATCGGGGTGTGTGACCCAAAAGCTTGAGCCGTAATAAGTACGGCAGAGAACAGACATTGCAAGCATACCGTCCTGAAGACATCCATAGGAATATACACGTCGTTAATTTCTAATCGTGCTCATTTCCAACTGCGTTCGTTTCTAAGTGTTCATGGCCTCCTAGTGGCCACGAAGAGGCCCAGGATCGAACAATTAGAAATGAGAGGATCTTGGCCCCCAAAAAAACAAAGAACTCTCGAAGAACAAGACATGAACAATGAGTACATGCAAGGCTGCGTTGGCGCTTCGCGCCTTGCACCTTGGCCCTTGAACCTTTGGAGCGGTTGGCATGTCGCGCCCTCCCCCGTCGCCTCTAAGGCGCGCCCGCTGGCTCGCATCACGGAGAAGCGGGGGAGGGGGAGGCTGTGAGTCAGAGACCACGGGCGCACGGAATGGCGCAGATGGAAACTGCTGAAGTCCTGGGCGCGCAACATGCTTTCCAACCAAAATAAAATTGCGAACCTGGGGTTGTGGGCAAACCGCGGCTGCCCGTACTCCAGATGTCGCAATAAAAGGGAGGGGGTCTGGACCCTCCAAGACAAGCCATTGCAGACCTCCCCCGCGGGGGAACCCTCCAAAACATCGCCCCCAGACCCCACAGGCCCTCCAAGATAGCCTGGAAGAGACCCCCCCCGAAATGAGCCCCCCCTCCCTTCATTGCGAAATCTGGAGTAATGAAATACCATCTGAGCGGGCGAGAACTCAGGGATCTACACGGGGGCCTGCCGAAGCGGTGCGAGGGCCGCGTGGCCCATCTCGG